CTGGACACTAGAGAGAATGCAGCTTTAACACATGAAGCTTTGACTTCTCTTAAAGAACCAGAGGTTGTCTCCTGGTTTAGTCCCTGTACTTTAGGAGGAAGGATACCTGGTCCTGCCTATATGTAAACATATATAACATTTAGATGATTAATTCTGGAACAACAAAGAATCGGAGTAACTCTTCACAGCTCCATGTCTCACCGTTGATGGTCAGCATCCTCTCCACGGCCGTGTTGGGGACAACGTTGGCCGGCGGTTCGTTCTTCAGCTCCACCGTTCTCTTCTCTGATCCTGAAGCAGCACAGAGCAGAGTGACTCCACTGGTCTCCTCCGTCATCAGAGAGCAGCAGCTGATCAGAGGTCAGTTCTTACCGTAGAGTCCCTGTGGGTCCAGTCTGCCTCCAGAGAACTTCTCCTTCTTCACTCCTTCAGGCTGGAAACACAAACACAGACTCTCCTGGTTTGTTCTTTGGTATATTTACGGAGCATTTTTTCATAAAACCTTCAATATAAAACTCATCCGTACCACCACCCTCAGCTTCTTCACCAGGACGTCTCCTCCTCCTCCTCCTCGGGGGGTCTTCAGGGTGAAGGTCAGGACGTGGTCTCCGGGCTCCAGACCCAGCAGGGTGAAGCTCACCTTCGCAGACCCCCCAGCAGACAGGGGGCTCCAGCTGCAGGACGTTGAGTGAAGCCCCGCCCCCCCAGCAACAGGGTGGGACTGCTGCAGACACACCGCTGGACCAGCTGTCAGCGTCACACAGTACTGAGGAGGAGGAGGAGGAGGACACCAGAGTTATTAGTAAACTAAACTAGGCGGCCACAGGCAGAGGATCATGGGACATGTAGTCTGGTGTTGTTACCGTGACGGCGTCGGCCTGCTGGTTGTAGACGGAGCCCGTCAGCTCCACCTGTTCTCCTCTGACCACCTGATAAGGAAGAGGGACGTCCACACTGAGGACCAGACGGGCCGACACCTGGACCGGCTCCGCAACACACACACCTGTAGAGACACACAACACATCAACACACCTGTAGAGACACACAACACATCAACACACCTGTAGAGACACACAACACATCAACACACAACACATCAACACACCTGTAGACACACAACACATCAACACACCTCTAGAGACACATAACACATCAACACACCTGTAGAGACACAACATATCAACACACCTGTAGAGACACACAATGCTCCAACATGGTTGTTACTGTGGTCAATGCATGAGTAGCACAGAAGTACAACAACAAAGTACTACTTATGTTCAGATCAGGCTTCACCTTCCTGCAGGTCTCTCCATCGTGAACCAGATGAGCGTTGATGAGTCCTCAGTCGGCGCCCTTTCTAGAAGGCATGGTGAGTATCTCCACACCCACCCGGCACCTCTCAGCCTGGGCAACTCTAGAAGAAGAGTTTGGTTTGCTGAACCAGTGCTGTGCGTAGAGGTGAGCCCAGCTGCATCTAGTTGGTACCGCTCCACCTCCCTCACCAGCTCCAGTTCCTTCCCCCGCCAGAGAGGTGACATTCTACGTCCCTACAGCTAGTCTGCGATGCCAGGGCCGGTACACCTATAGGTTCCCCGCCCTTGCCTGCCGTCCGGCTCACTTTGAACCTGACCCCAATGCCTATCCCTGCGAGTGGTGGGCCCTCAGGGCAGCGGCTCCCTGAGTTTATTCAGGCTGCGCCTGGCCGGGCCCCATGTGTCAAGGCCTGGCCCCAGGTTTGGCCCCAGGAGGAAGCCCCGGTTTACCTTTGTCGGGCGAGGTGTGACAACTCTTTTCCAGCCGATTCATCAAGGGTCAGTGAACCGCTCTTAGTCTGCCCCCTTTCCTGAGCCCACTTTGCATTAGGAGACCCTACCAGGAGCTATTGCCCCCCGAAAACACAGCTCTCAGGGTCACTGGGCACAAAATCTCATCCACCACGTTAAGGTGGTGATTCATTGGAGGAGCAATGAATATAAGGATCAATACAAATATTCCATATCAGAAAGACAGCTGGAGCTGATCCCAGCTGAGAAGGCTGGGTAAAGCCTGGACAGTTCATAGATATCCAGAAGATCTGACAGATAGAGACAACCATTCACACTCACACTCACAGCTAGAGATTCAATGAACCTCTCTGGACTGTGGAAGTTCATGAAGTCAGAAGAGAACATGCAAACTCCACACAAGAGGGCCGTCCAGCCCGGGAATTGAACCCGGAGCCCTCTTGCTGTGAGCCGATAGTGCTAGCCACCACTTTAGTTCAAAGCTCAGAGATCTATGTAGACCTGCTTCTGAAACTGTTCATGAAACAGTTTAATCAGCACCGTTTAAATACTTCAGACACCTGCAGAAGAAAGGATGCAGAGACACAGATACTGAAGGAAGTGGGAGAATAGACATTTTAAATGGAGGAGAGGAGGTCGTGATGTTAAACGTGAAGGATAACTCACCGTTGTTGAACATGCCGATGGCCTTGATCTCCCAGGTGGTGAGAGAGTCTGGTAGAGGCCTGATGACCAACAACTGGCCCGAACTACAGACACAAAGACGGAGACGATCAGAGACGTCCTCTGTACTGAACGCGGTGAGACAAGATATGAACGTCCTGCAGCGTCCTTTTGATCTGAACTCATAGATTCAGGTCGACTTCAAGTCGACCTGAATCTATGAGTTCAGATCGAGTTCAGCAATTTTGCCGTAGCCATCTTGTTTGTTATGGAACCAGTGAACAGGAAGTGACCATATCTGGACTGAGGAGGAGTGACGTAGAGACTCCGTATACGTCTCTGGTAGAGACCTGTCAATCACGGTGTAGCCCCGCCCTAAAGCATCCCCTGCTTTATGGTCTGTGTGACTCTAAATGGACCATAATGTACTAAATGAACATCATGCTGTATTGAAGAAGACTTGAAACTAGAGATTGAGACCATAAACTCATGTTTACAATGTTTACTGAGGTAATAAATCAAGAGAGAAGTAGAGTCATTTTCTCATAGACTTCTATACAACCAGAGGAGTCGCCCCCTGGTGGTCACTAGAGAGAATGCAGCTTTAACACACTTTAGTATCCTTTAGTAACTGGAGGTTGTCTCCTGGTCCAAACAAACAGATTTGCAGGTGTGTTTGATTTGTTTCACCTGACACGCTGCACCTCCCACATCCAGCTCTCTGGAAAGTAGCTCCGGACCAGAGAAGGAGCCACGTCAAACTCTGCACCCATCGCTGCACACACACAAACACACACACACACACACACACACTAGTGTTACAGGCTAGGCAAAAATCCTGCAGGAAGTTCTGCACAATAAAACATCCATAAAACAAAGAAGACTGGTGTTGTTTTCAGGACTGACCGTTGCGTCCCAGGACAAGGTCCTGGTTCTGGTCCAGGTTCTGCTGGAGGAACTCACAGCAGGCTCTGAAGGCCTGTCTGCAGGGAGCGTGTTTCCTGACTTTCTGCAGGGCGAACTTATGGCAGCTCAAACTCTTTGGAATGTACCTCATACCCTGTTCACAGCAGGTCTTCAGTGGACCGTAACTCTCCGCTGGACAGACGGACAGACACACTGTTATCTACTGTTATAGTGACGTAATGTCTCTGGTCCAGTGTAGGGAATGAAACGATGCTGTAGTTTGTAACGTTGCAGAAAACATAGTGACACCAGCTTCATTTTAAACACAACCTAACACATCAATAAACTTATAAATATGAACTTGTAACCTTGTAACCTTGTACACTTGTAAACTTGTAAACTTGTAACCTTGTAAACTTGTAACATTGTAACCTTGTAAACTTGTAAACTTGTAACCTTGTAAACTTGTAAACTTGTAACCTTGTAAACTTGCAACCTTGTAAACTTGTAAACTTGTAACCTTGTACACTTGTAACCTTGTATACTTGTAACCTTGTACACTTGTAAACTTGTAACCTTGTAACCTTGTAACCTTGTATACTTGTAAACTTGTGCACTTGTAAATTTGTAACCTTGTAACCTTGTACACTTGTAACCTTGTACACTTGTAAACTTGTAACCTTGTAACCTTGTACACTTGTAACCTTGTATACTTGTAACCTTGTACACTTGTAAACTTGTAACCTTGTAATCTTGTATACTTGTAAACTTGTACACTTGTAAACTGTGTGCAGAACTTTTGTCTGGTTTTAGGCTGAAGCGTTTGGGTCATAAGTTGCAGCCAACACGAAAAGGTTCACCGGTGAACTTGACCTCCAGAGAAGCGAGTGACAGGTGGAGTGTCACCTTTCTTTGTCTTCTGCTCTTCAGTCAGAGCTCGCTTTGGACGCACGGATGCTGTGCACGCCTCAACTGCACACACACACACACACACACACACACACACATAAATCAAACCATTTCAAAAACACTGACTGTCATTCGTCATTGATTGATTGATTGATCAGTGTACTGCTGGTTGATGGGCGGGCGTTGGCGTTGGTGATGAAGGTGAGGCCGGCCAATCGGAAGACGTCTGCGCTGTCTCTGCCACCGCCACCGCCACAGCCCTGGTCACTTTGCTCCAGGTGATGCAGAACCTGCAGGCCACCGTACTTCCTGTTACTGCCGTTTCATAGCACTTCACATAAAGACATCTATTAAGTTATACTGTAAACAAAATGTCTGTGTTACCATGGTCACGGGGTCCCTGTAGTTGGGTCGCAGCGCGTAGAGGGCGGAGTCAACAGCAGACAGAGCGACCAGACCGTCCTGATTGGTCCGTATGTCCAGCCGGAGGTTTTCCTTCGGTTTGTAGACTCGACTACGATATGACAGATCAGTCTGACACACAAACATTCATTAGAAAACATACTCACCCTGTCGGTATCGTTAGGATTCTATTGATGTTAATGCTCTTATCGATACTCTCATTGGTTACTTTTTCAATATTTTGTGATAGCGCGCATAGCTGTAGTTGTAACTGAGCAGTATCACTGCAGTACATCTTCCAGCCACCAGTGCACTGGCAGCACTGAGTTTACTTGGTTTACATGGTTTGTCTTGAATTACATTATATATCTTTGTTACTTTAGCCCTATTTTTAGGCCTCTGCTCGAAAATAGCATACCCATACTAAAAAGACTGTAATTCTCTAACTACAAGGTCTATTTTAAGAATGTTTATGTTATAATACAGGTAACACTTGTGAGATTTGTTCAGATGTGTAAATATTGTGTATATGTTATTAGTTAAGAGCAAATGAGGATGGCACACAGCTGAAATTGAAAGGTTTCAGGTTCGCCTGAAAAAAAGCCCTTTTATTGTTATTATTTCTTTGGAATGATGCAGCTGAAAGCCTAAAAACACTCCCACATCATAGCATGTGTCAGGAGTCCCTAAACAATTTGGCTTTGATGAAGTGAAGCAGGACAAAGTTAGAGAGGTTTTAGTACAGAGAGGTCAGGCGAGGTCAAGCAAAATTGTCATTTTGGAACCAGCTGTTCCAGCTGTTCGTCTGACTGCAGGCTTCATGTGTGTGAGTGGCTGTATCTCAGCCTCTGATTGGTCAATTTCAGAGTATGACACCTTGTTAGATGCGGAAGAGTGTCAGGAAAACACTGGGCATAAGCTGGTGTTGATTGACAGAATTGTTTGTCAGTAAAAATCATAAATGCACCGTGCGTAACCGAGCGTAAAAACTGATTCGCCTAAAGTGAAATCCTGTCCCCCACGGTCCCCCTAGCTTGTCTGACCCCCCTTTCTCAAGGAAACAGTTGAAAAACACAGGACATACGTGGGGACAGTGTATTTAGCCGGGAAAACAGAATATTATACCTTTCTCTTCATGATTCATCTCAAGGTAAGGGGCTTTTATGGGTTTTTCTGCGGTTGAGCGGCTTGGTGTTGTGTTGCTTGTTGGCTTGTATCTTTGTAATGGTTTGACGGAGAGAAATTCTGAAGATATCTCTGGATTCTGTGTCGAAGCTCGTGCTCTGAGATTAGCAGTTCACTTTTTGTCAGTAGAGCTCGCCGGAGTGCGTAGCTCACCGAGTCATGGCGAAAAATACGTGATATTGTGGTAAATCTTCTTGATGATTATATTAGTTTGTGTATACTTGTGTTTGCAGTGTGTACAATGGTTTACATGATTATGTTGCCCAGAATCTCTTCTGTGTGTAGCATTAATTATATTTGTTTCTGAAAAGTGCATTGTACAACGCTCTCTTCTCTCGAACCCCAAACATGTGAGTTCATATTATGAACAAATGTCCACGTTCTGTGAGACACAGATGCTGGACTGTAATACTCAACAGAACCTCTCTGATTAAGGACCTCAAATCTTTGCATATTTAGCAAAAATGACTGAGAGTAAAAGTAAGTATCTCGTTGTACCTGGAGTCCGTTGACACACTTGCCTCTGATGTTCAGCCAGACGGAGTCGGCCACCAGCTCATTGTAAGCTTGTAAACTTGTAAACTTGTAAACTTGTACACTTGTACACTTGTAAG